ATTAGTCAATATTGATATATAAAGATTTTAATTATTATAATTAAATAATTTTATTATAACTATAATAGTTTTATTATTATTAAATAGTATCATCATGACTAAATATTTCATTATTTCATCATTTTAAAAATAATGACTAAATATATTTCAGTTTCGTCATATGACTAAATATTTCAGTTTCTCCCATATCATTAACAGTAGTTTACAAAAGAAACGCAAGTAGATTTGCTTGCTTTTAAGAGCTTATAACTCACCAACAACAAATGCTAGAAATATGGTTTTGTATTTGTTTTAAATCCCAAAACTTAGCTAATATTCAGTAAAAATTTGAAGCATAATTATTAAGACCAATTTTGGCAATTTAGCGATTTACATCAAATATTCTTACTTACTGAAATTTAAGTGTAGAAAATTTTTTCAGTAGGCTGACTACTTAAAAACTGATACTGAATTCCGATTCTTCTCAGTGCAACGATTCTAACAAGCTAAAATTTGTTAAAATCAAATAAGTAGATCAATGAAAAATCAATCTACAAGATCGCTTTATGCTATATACAGAGGGTCTTCAATAGTTTATGCATACTTTTTTCATACGAATTTTCTCAAAATTTTATTAAGCAATTAAGCAATTTACAAATAATAAATAATGTTCCCAAACTATTAAAATACGAATGCTATTAAGGGTTTAATACTTGGTCAGACCACCATTTGCATCAATTATCGCCTGAATTTGTCAAGGCATACTTTCGACTAAATTTTTGATTTTTTTGGATGTAATTGATTTCCAAGCCTTTTGTACTTGTCGTTCAAGTGAGGAAAGATTAGTGGGCTTTACTTTTTAGCTTCAAATGTTTTTTTTAATTTCATCCCATAAATTTTTGATCGGGTTAAGATCCAGGCTTTGGGCAGGCCATTTAAGGGTTTGGATATTTTTTTTGCATGAAATTCCGCAGCAATTTTGCTTCGTGACAAGGAGCATTATCCTCCTGAAAAACACCATCCCCATTTGGAAAAAAACACTTCATAGTAGGGATAATATGCTTGCGCAAAGTTTCAATATGCACTGAACCAGTTATAGAACCAACTAAAGAAATAATTGGCCCTAATCCTTGTGCAAAAAAGCATCTCCAGAACATCTGACTTAGACTGTGTTTTACTGTCGCTGAAATACAAGCAGGTAACCATTCCTCAGATAGTTCTCACTATATTCAGCTGATACGTGATTGCTGAATCTGGAAAAAGGTTGATTCGTCACTTTAAAGAACCTTTTCCCAGTCTTGCACAGTCCAATGTGTATGCTCTTATGCCCATGCAAGTCTTTTCACCATATTTTCAGGTGAAATGAATGGTTTTCGCTGAGCTGCACAATTGTTTAATCCAGCAATATGAAGTGTTCGATAGATGGTAGGGGTAGAAGCATCCTGCCATAACTTCTTTTTCCAAAGGGCTTGCAATTTACAGGTATATTTGCATGATTGTTTTTTTTCGTAACTAATTATTTAAGTTGGTTATGATTTGGAGTTGTGAAAAGACACGGTTGCCCAGAATATGACTTTATATCAGTAAACCCAGTGGCTTTATACCTTCTTATACAAGTTGAAACTGCAGAGGATCCACATTCTACAGTTTCTGCAATTTTTCTGCATGAATGGCTAAGTCGATGTCCATAAAGAATAGCGCCTTTTTGAAATTCCATAAGCTCTTTTCCTTTACCCATTTTTTTTAAGGTAAGGTTAAAAAAATTTTTTTTTGGTTAATTTATGTTTTTTTTAATTAGTGTGGGAAAATTCACACAGTCGTCTCAAATTATGAGGGCATAAATAAATTGTACGCAGTTTATGATGTTTGCGAAGTTTGTGAGATTTATAACATTTGTGATGTTTGCGATAAGTTTAGATAAAAATGGTGGCCCGTTGTAGCCCAAATGTGTTAATATCCGAAATGCGCATTTCGGATATCCTAAATCGGAATACGCATTTGAGATATCCCAAATGTGAAGATCATTTTAGACATGCATTTGCCCCAAATAAGCATTTATCCCAAATGATCACTTGGGATATCCCAAATGCTCATTTTAAATATCCCAAATGCTCACTTCAAATAATACCAAATGCTCATTTAGATATCCCAAATGACCACTTCAGATAATATCCCAAATGCTCATTTCAGATAATACCAAATGCTCATTTCAGATATCCTAAATGACCACTTTGGATAATATCCCAAATGCTTATTTCGGATATCCCAAATGCTCACTTTAGATATCCCAAATGCTCACTTCGGATAATATCCTAAATGCTCATTTCAGATATCCTGAATGACCACTTCGGACAATATCCCAAATGCTCATTTCAGATATCCCAAATGATCACTTTAGACAATTTCCCAAATGCTCACTTCAGATATCCCAAATGACTACTTTGGATGATATCCCAAATGATCACTTTGGATAATATTCTAAGTAGTTCATAAATGATTTGCTTATTTATTAATGTTTAACTTTTACTTATAACTTGTATTAAATAAATTAAACTAGTAAATTTAAAAATTTTAAAATAATATATTTATATTATAAAATATTTT